AAGTGCTTGAATCATTCTGCATTAATTGCTGGTATGCAAAGCGCAGGCAAAATGAAGCAGAAATAAAAATTCTGTTTTAGCTATTGCTGCTTGACTAAATAAATTATGTGCTCAAATGGTGCTCATTTTTGTGTCCAGGGACCCTTGAAATTTTGAAATTTCCTGGGGGAGGCCCCCCAGACCCCCCGCCATTTGCCCTTTTTGGGGGATGTGCCCTTAAAATCTGGAAAAATACTGTCTAGCCTCAGCCCTGGATCCGCCCCTGACTGTATATATATATTTATATTATAATCGGCGTGCGTGCGTGCGTGCGCATGAAGCGTGCGTCTGCATGTATTTCCGGCATATATATATATATGCATTCACAGGAGAAACGCAACATAGAAGAGTACAAAATGCGCAGAGGAGGCAGCACTAGCCAATGAGATGAGCAAAACGGTCACCTTACCATTAGCCCGGTCCCCGGTCATATTTATGCATAGCGCTAGAACTATAGCCCTTCGTTCTGCCACAGGGCTATAGCACAAAATATGTTAAAACTGGACAACGAAATCGCTCTCACGAAAAACGGCTCAGAGAACGCAAAATTATCAGGCTTTTTAACACTTATTTATCTACATGGAGCATTAGTGATTACTCATGCATGGGGGTCAACTGGCACTTTTCTAATCATAAGCATGTTGCCTGTCAACCTTGTAATCAGCGCCAGTGCTATACCCACACCCCCATGAGTAATGGGCTGCCCTCGTTTTTTCTGTGATCCGTTCCGCGTGAGTCGAGGCACCGAGCAGAGGGAGCAATATCATTGCCCAATTTCAACATAGTTTGTGATAATAGCCCTGTGGCGCTGAAGGAGTCGTTGTCGTATCAGGTACTACAGATATGTACCCGAGGTACATATATATGTATACACAAAGTGTACCAAACTTGTACTACAGAAGTTCAAGTGTACCCTAACCCTAACCCTAGCCCTAACCCTAAACATACCTCATATGAAGATATAAACATAATACTAAACAACCTAAAACTACCTCGGGTACATATCTGTAGTACCTGATACGACAACGACCCCATCTGCCCCTGTGGCAGAGCGAAGGGCTATATATAGTTCTAGAGCTAATCTATGCATAGCGACATGTGCAAATGTGGACAGCTCTTACGTCTTAACACGTTCCCCGCGGATCCACGATTCAGCTCGTGGGAACAATCAAAACGCATACCCGCGGATCCACGAGTCAGCTCGTGCATAGATTATTGGTTTTTGTTACTCTGATTTCCAACAGATGGCAGGCACTACCTACCTAGAAATTAAACAGGGACAGTCTATATTACCTCAGTCATACATGACGGAAGAATACAATGCCTTATTGTTGATTCGAACGTGAAATTATGAGTTTTGAGACTCAAGGTAAATTTGTAAAACTAGAAGGTAAACTAGAAGGCGTAGATCGAAACAAGGTTTGTTTACCGTTTTCCTAACGGTATATAACATAATAACTGTGTAGTATATAAAATTTGGAGGTATTTTTGCATGTAGAAAAACAAAACAAGGTTCATACCCCAGTAACCCCACAGATGTGTAAGCGTTGTAACAATTATTTCCGGAAAAAATAGTATACTGTCGATTGGTATCATAACAAACTCGCGAAAATCCACCCGTGCGGCGGCATTTTGAGACGAAAATGCATGAAATGTCCGTTTTGTCCATGTTTTCATATAAATATATTATTATGAAGGGGAACGATTTTCATACTATTTGAACGTGTAGGAGGCATACAACAAGTAAGCCTTCACAAATTGTTCACCGTTGCACTATTTTGTCTCTAGAAAAAGCATTCTTTGGCATTTTTTCCCACCTAAATTCGGCACTAGAGTGCAATAATTTGCATTATGCACGCAAGTTAGACGCCTCGTGGACGTCTAGAAAGCATCAGAAGTAAAATTGGTCTTGTTGTGTATTCGTGACATTCCGTCAGGTGGCGTAGCAACAGCGACCGGTTGGTCATTTTTGTGTTTGAAATGTGTTCAGACAACTTTGCAGAAATTCGCATCGTAGAGCTGGCAAAAGTTTCGAGCAGAGCATCGAGCATGAATCTGTAGTTATTTTTAACATGAATATAGAGTATGTTGTGTAAGCGAAGTAACAGTGTGAGTATTTTTAATTAATTTCTGTTCGATGCTTATTCAGGCCTGCTGCCTATGGACGCCCTCTACTGTTGTTCACCACAGGGGGGTCTGTAAGGGTGATATAACACTCATGCAGAGTAAATGTGTCAGTTTGGTTAGCTTTTCTGCAAAGGAAATGTGGTAAATCAAAGTGAATATGCGGTAAAAACACGAAAATCCCAGCGCAGGGCGGTAGGTGCATTGTTAACACCGGCAGCGTTGAACGTGTTAATGATAATATCCTTTGGCCCTTTGGCTTTGGCCGCTCCGCCACACTGTCACTGCCGCTCATAGGGTCTATGTCCCCCAGGGTACTGCCGGAACTAGCTCTAGTACTATAGCCCGCGTACAGTGAGTATAGTATTGTACGCGGGCTATAGTACTAGAGCTATGCCGGAACGTACCCTGGGTACGGTCTGATATACCGGAACGTACCCTGGTAACTATCTGATAGTGATATCGTTAGGGTTAGGGTTAGGGTTACTGGTTAGGGAGTAGGCGTAAGCGACTCCCTAGACTCGTTAGTGGAGTAGGCGAGGTACGGTCCGGCATATTAGATAGTACCAGGGTACGTTCCGGCATATTAGATAGTACCAGGGTACGTTCCGGCAGTACCCTGGGGGACATCTAGACCCTATCAGCGTCACTGCCTAGGCGGCTATCTGAAGCTAATTTATGCATATCATAGAGTGAGAGTATACACGTCACATACATATCTCATAGACTGTAGTTACCGACACCGTAGTTAGCCAACACCGTGCAGCCCGCTTCATCACAGGGGACTACCACAGCAGAACTCCAGACTGTGTTACAGACATGCTATCGTCCCTACAGCTGGAAAGCCTCCAAAACCGCCGTCGTGATATGCGACTAACCTATCTCTACAAAATCATCAGTGGGCTGGTTCCAGCAATGCCCCCGTCAGATTAGACCAATAAAATGTGCCCTAAAAATTTTTTTATTCTGATGTTATAATAAAATAAACGTGATTAAAGAGAAGAATACTGCATGACAATAGTGTTTTGTAATGTAGGTAAGATGTTAATAAAGTGACAGCTTTAGGTATTTCTTTGATTTTCTATGTAACACGGCCGTAAATAGTGAAAAGGTTGTCGTGCATTTTGCACGACAAAATTCACAGGTTTTGTCTATGGAAGGGTATTGGGCCCTAAATTATAAAATAACATCAGAATATAACATTTTTGAGGGCACAATTTATTGGTATACCGTCAGATTTTCTACAACCAGTTCAAACCGGCAAAAGACGAGTGAGACCACCTAGCAGATTGAACAAGGAGGAGTTCATCAGTGCTCCCATCAACGAACGTGCCATCCGTCTGAACTCAAAAGGATTCAATGTACCAGCGTACAAAACTGACCAGTACAAGAATTCCTTCTTTGTCCGCACAGTGATACAGTGGAACCACCTGGGTGACCACATAGTAACTGCGGACAGTGCTGAGCAATTTACATCTAAGCTCAGCTGAGATGGTCTTTGTCCCCCAGGGTACTGCCGGAACGTACCCTGGGTACGGTCCGGTATACCAGAACGTACCCTGCATGGTCACTATTTGATATGGTTAGGGTTAGGATTAGGGTTAGGGTTAGGGTTAGGTTTAGGGTTCGGGTTCGGGTTAGGGAGTAGGCGTAGGCGACTCCCTAGACTCGTTAGTAGAGTAGGCTAGGTACGGTCCGGCATATAATATAGTAATTAGTACCAGGATACGTTCCAGTATACCGGACCGTACCCAGGGTACGTTCCGGCAGCACCACGGGGGACATAGACCCTAGATACAATAATGTAACCCAAACCCAAGAGGGTTTGGGTTACATTATTGTAAGTACATAGACCCTATCACTCAGCCTAAGCTCAGCCAACATCAATTCTAAAGTAATTGGCAGTGGCTACGGGTACGGTAGCCGTATCTTAATGTCTCGAGGCTACGGGTACGGAAGTCCATTCGCTTTTATACTTAACGAGACAAAGATGGCGGCGGTGGCGCCAGATTTCGAAAATAACGCCTTAGGAAATAAATTCACGATTTGAGAATTTAGATGAGCTAGAACCCTAACCCTAACCCTAAACCTAAACCTAACCCTAACCATAACCCTAAACCTAACCCTAACCCTAACGCCAAAAAGGGGCTTCAACGACCGACGGCTACCCTACCCGTAGCCACTGCGAAAATGATTAGGGTAGGCTAGACCGAATAATTCTGTCCCATATAACCTTTTTATATTTTGGTGAGGGTTATATTGGGACAGAACGGGGTTCATTGAAATTTCGTGAGATCGCATGCAAAATGCATGCGCTGAGAATGCGGCCCGTACGCCGCTATTGGCGTGAAAACAAACCTACCGTTCCCTTCTACATGGCTTTACCTTGCTACTGCATGATATGTGTATACATTCACTTCAATCGTTATTCACTTCTTAAAAGATTGTTTTTCATAAACACCGCTTCGTTCAACTTTCGTAAATTACATCGCCATTTACAAACAATCAGACCAATCACAGCGAGTCTATCAGGCCTCCTGCAGCGCCACAGATTATCAGATACAAGCGAGAACCAGGGGCTATTGTAAGACTCGCTCTGATTGGTTGACTGATCCCAGCGGCAGTCAATGTAAGCGGGCTATAGTACTAGAGCTATACAAGTACTAGCCTATAGTACCTATAGTCTATACTGTACTAGTTACTAATACTACCCTCTCCCGATTCCGTTGCCTCGATGCCAATTTTGGATACTACAACAGAAACAGAAGTTACATGAATTGCCGCAACCTCGGAATTAGAATCCATCTTGACACTATATAGTCATAACATAGGCTTACCGTTAATTTTGACAAAGATTTTGATCTAACGCTGGACAAAAATTGACTAGGATAGTGCTCTACTGTTTGGCACAGCCGGATATCACCGTCAAGAGGTTAACAACCAGAGGTCAACACCAAGAAGTCATCATAGTTTTGCGTATCCGGGTATATTGGCGCCGCCTAGTGTTAGATGCATTATCCTGCTGGAACGCGTAGTCTCTTAATTATTTTTAATTGTGAAAGTGTTATTGACAACGATTTTTAGAAAAACCTATAAAAATTAAGAACTATAGCTTGGTATTATATAAAATACACAAAAGAAGAGGAAACCCTGTTTTTTTAATGATTTTATGAAGTTACATTAGTCACGTGATGTCCGCCATTTTGCGCAGAACAGCGCGTTCACACGGTCATGATTGGCTCGAGCCAAATGGGCTAGATTTGGCTCGGGTGTTGCTATCCCCCGGGCGCGATTATTTTTTCCGTACCGTTGACGCGTCAGCGCTCGGGGAGCGTATTGGGAATGCTTGCGTCACAGCTCAACAGTCCCCCTAAACACTATGTACTCGACTACTCAACAAATAATTGAAATATGTGTTTACACAGGCCTTCTATCGCTAGCAAAGACCGTTTCTTGGAGCTAGTAGTGATACGCTTTCATACTTTTAAAACGAGACAAAGATGGCGGCGGTGGCGCCGATGTCGAAATAACGCATTGGGAAATAAATTCATGATTTGAATGAATTAGAGTTTAGATGAGCGGCTAGAACCGGCTAAGCATACTACCTAACCGCTAACGCCTAACCCTTAAACCCTAACGCCTAACAGGCTAACACATGGGCTTAACCCCTAACCCTAACCCTAAACGCGTAACCCAATATGCATTCCGATACGCATAGCGAGCCGCTGACGCCGGTCAACGGTATGGAAAAAATAATCGCCCCCAGGCGTGGAGGGAGGTCACGTGATAACGTTAACGATGACGTTCAAAATGTTAACCTAACGGTAACCCTCACTCCACACCGCCAACACTAACACTCACACTAAATATATATGTGTCGCCGCGCTATTATATAGCAGTGTTTATCCACAACAATTAATCTATGGTGTGGGAACAGATATCATGATGCAAAAACCCTAACCCTAACCCTAATCCTAATCCTAACCTAACCCTAACCCTAATCCTAACCCTAAACCCATCCTATACCCTAACCCTAATCCTGACCCTAACCCTAATCCTAAAACTATCCTAACACTAGTGCTGCCACGTTGCGGTCACCTCCTCACCACGCCGCGGGGAATAGCATTACCCATTGTGCGGGCCAAATTTGGCTCGGGCCTAATTTGCAGTCGGCGCGTTCACACGTACGCAGTGAATACTGTCTGTCAATTCAAATTCAAATTCAAATAAATTTTATTGCACAAATATCTCACAGATAAATTGGCAGTATGTCGCGAGATGGCGTGTGTTTACTATTTAGAGTGTTTACTTACGTCCGAGTTTAATTATCAATCTTGAAAACGTGCATCCTGATCAAATTTTTCGAATTTTTATACTGTTTTGGAACTTTTATACTGTTTTGGAATTATTTTACTGTTATAAAGTTATACTTTTTATACTGTTTCAACCGATTCTAGTAATTTCCTCCTCTCTACCGCTCGCCGAAAGCTGGGTGCTAAAAATTTGGCTCGGCCTGTGTCCGAGTTTCGATGGGGCCATTTCTGGTTCGCGCCTAATTAGGCTCGGGCCAAAAACGTCCGTGTGAATGCGCCTATAGAGATGTATAAATAGTTATCTAGAGATTTATAATAGTTTATTTATACATCTCTATGGCGCAGAACGATCTCTAGATTATGGGTAATGCTATACGCCGGGCGCGTGATTTTTTTTCCTAGGTCAATCAAGAACATAGGCCTAACGAGCACTGCCATTGTTGATACAAATCACGTGCCTCAAACTCCTGTTTTATGCTGTGGCATTCACTGCATTGTGA